ATAGCTAAGGTTTTGGACCAGATAAGTTAGCCAGTCATGTCAACCCTCCTTAGGATGTGAAAACCAGGTTTAGGTCAACCCTTTTTAGGATAAGATGGCCAGTGTAGGGCTTACAGTCAGTTCCTTCATTCTTCTTTTTCATTTTCTGCTTTGATCAGATAATGTATTTGCCTTGTGCGCGGCAGCTGTATTTGCATCTTTTGGCTGACTGATGTCTTTGGGTAATTGTTGCCCGAGTTAGTCTTCCGTGAATTCCTTCAGTCTATTCTAAGCGGTTCAATCTGTTTGATACCACAGATAGAATCTGACATGTTGTGGGAAGGAATAGACTTGATACCACAGATAGAATCTGACATGTTGTGAGAAGGAATAGACTTGATACCACAGATAGAATCTGACATGTTGTGAGAAGGAATAGACTTGATACCACAGATAGAATCTGACATGTTGTGAGAAGGAATAGACTTGATACCACAGATAGAATCTGACATGTTGTGAGAAGGAATAGACTTGATACCACAGATAGAATCTGACATGTTGTGAGAAGGAATAGACTTGATAACTTTTTAACTACTGGCAGGATTGGTGAGCAGAGAACAAGAAGAAGGCAAAGAGATCAATACCTGGAGTACTTGGCAACGGATGGGGTGAGACAGGAACACTGATCTGATCATGATTCTGGTGATCATGTGAAATGGTGAAACATGACAACCTGTGATTACTGGTATGGAGCTTGGTAATTATGATAGTCGGGCGTAACAGTTCTGACCTCTCTCGCCAGTGTTTACTGTAGGATTTCACAACTAAACTGGCATTAAAAGTGCTCATAGATTACTTAAACACTGTCATGGGAAAGAAAAACAAACATGTGTAATAGATGTTTTCCATCATAAATGCATGTGAGTAACACACGAATTACTGGCTATGTGGCCTTGAAGTGATAACCATCAGAAATCCAGCTTTCACCAATATCACTTGTTCGGCACATCCTGTTGACCTGTAACTGTAATATTGTTTTAATGTATTATAATAATAAAGAACACAATAAAATGAGCACTGTCCATTTGTTTTGTATACTTAACACTTCTGCAGGGCACAGAAACAGGCAATTAGCAGTGCACATTATAAACCATTGAAATATAGATACCCAGAAAAGTGTGTTGTACATGATAAAAACCAAAATAATGAAATACTATAGTTTTACGATAACTGAGAATTAATAGATAGTTGATAAAAAAAATTAAAAAAAAAAAAGAAATAAAAAGACAAATATTTTTGCCACATCAAAAGGTATAACACTATTCTAAAAACTATGCAGGAGGGAAAGATTGAGGGCAAACAAGCAAGAGGTGGATAGCGATGCAAGCAGGATTATAACATCAAGACGTGGCAGAACTGTAGATGAACTCTCTGATAGAGTGTACAGCTAGCATTAGAAGCAGAACCATTTTGGGGATCCATCATAGCGAACCGACATTGTTGAGACAGCACGTGATAAACTGATGATACTATACTTTCCTGAACCATGTTTAAAATACAATCATTGGCCAGAATTGGTGATATTACTGTGTTAAAGTAATAAATCAAAGGATCATAAGAGAAAAGTCGGCACAGAACAAGTTCTAAATTACAAATACAGCGAACAAATAGTATGGTAATTTAGACAGAATTCCTTGTGGCGCTATACTATAGAAGATATTACTATAGAAGATATACACTAAAAGAGGAGAAGATTGAAGATCATGAGGTAGATCAAGAATAACACGGAAAAACATTAGAGAAACTACAACAGCACAATGTGTCTATGGTCGAGACGGCAAGAAGCAGAACCTTATATCTCCTTTGACACCCGAAACGGTAACAGAAGAAATGAAGAATAGGCTAATACTGTACGAAAAGAGACTACCAAAACAAACAAAAAACTTGTTACAGATCGAAAACCGCGCTTTTCTTAGCTAAACCTGATAACTGGGCGATGGAACAGTAGACATTCTAAGCCAAGATGTACCAAACAACAGTTGATCACGTCGTGTAATCAGTACAGTAATGAAAGGACCCTTTTCTCTACAGGATGCTTCAGACATATGATGCCAGACCCATGTTTGTATAGACATCTCAGCCCTCAGTGGGTGATGTCAAGGTTACACTGACGACCTTTGCTTCCTCGCACTTTTACTTGAACCCTAGGCTGAATCACCCAGTAATTCACACATAATTGTCACCTTATTAACCACTTACGATTCAGTATCCTCATACACCACTTAGATATCTTCAGGAACACTCGTACCTGACAAAGAAGACATCATGAGGACCTCATACACCACTTAGATATCTTTAGGAACACTCGTACCTGACAAAGAAGACATTATGAGGACCTCATATACCACTTAGATATCTTTAGGAACACTCGTACCTGACAAAGAAGACATTATGAGGACCTCATATACCACTTAGATATCTTTAGGAACACTCGTACCTGACAAAGAAGACATCATGAGGACCTCATACACCACTTAGATATCTTTAGGAACACTCGTACCTGACAAAGAAGACATTATGAGGACCTCATATACCACTTAGATATCTTTAGGAACACTCGTACCTGATAAAGAAGACATCATGAGGACTTCATACACCACTTAGATATCTTTAGGAACATTCGTACCTGTCAAAGAAGACATCATGAGGACTTCATACACCACTTAGATATCTTTAGGAACACTCGTACCTGATAAAGAAGACATCATGAGGACATACACCACTTAGATATCTTTAGGAACATTCGTACCTGTCAAAGAAGACATCATGAGGACTTCATACACCACTTAGATATCTTTAGGAACATTCGTACCTGTCAAAGAAGACATCATGAGGACTAGATACACCACTTAGATATCTTTAGGAACACTCGTACCTGACAAAGAAGACATCATGAGGACTTCATACACCACTTAGATATCTTTAGGAACATTCGTACCTGTCAAAGAAGACATCATGAGGACTTCATACACCACTTAGATATCTTTAGGAACAATCGTACCTGACAAAGAAGACATCATGAGGACTTCATACACCACTTAGATATCTTTAGGAACATTCGTACCTGTCAAAGAAGACATCATGAGGACTTCATACACCACTTAGATATCTCTAGGAACATTCGTACCTGTCAAAGAAGACATCATGACGACCTCATACACCACTTAGATATCTTCAGGAACACTCGTACCTGACAAAGAAGACATCATGAGGACTTCATACACCACTTAGATATCTTTAGGAACATTCGTACCTGTCAAAGAAGACATCATGACGACCTCATACACCACTTAGATATCTTCAGGGACACTCGTACCTGACAAAGAAGACATCATGAGGACCATTTGTGAACGAATTCTGATAGAAGACATGCACATAGATGAAAAAACATGTATGAAAGAGGAATTAGGAGTGGCGCCAGCAAGGATGGCCGTTCGAGAGGAGGAGAACGACCTTTGTATAATCAGTGTGCTACGAGAACAGTTAGCATCTACACCTAAAGATATTTACTGCAGGAGACAGAGCACCTATGGGTATACCCGGTGTGCTATAATGTCCATTCCTAAAGCAGCAAATACACCACTAATACTGACCAACCTTCACATTCAGCTCATGCGTTTTTCTTTAAATATGAGCTGCAAGAGATGGCAACAGAAAAGACGATTGCATCGCTTTTGGGAAGATAGTATAAGCTGCAGGAGATAGCAACAGAAAAGACGACTGCATCGGTTATGGGAAGATAGTATAAGCTGCAGGAGATAGCAACAAAAAAGACGACTGCATCAGTTATGGGAAGATAGTATAAGCTGCAGGAGATAGCAACAGAAAAGATGACTGCATCGGTTATGGGAAGGTAGTGTAAGCTGCAGGAGGTGGCAACAGAAAAGACGACTGCATCGGTTATGGGAAGGTAGTGTAAGCTGCAGGAGGTGGCAACAGAAAAGACGACTGCATCGGTTATGGGAAGATAGTGTAAGCTGCAGGAGGTGGCAACAGAAAAGATGACTGCATCGGTTATGGGAAGGTAGTGTAAGCTGCAGGAGATAGCAACAGAAAAGAGTACTAAGTTGGTTGATGGTGTCCCCCCCCCCCCCCACCTACCCGCTATAGCGGTATAAAAGGCAGGAGAATGTCAGAATGCCGACTATTTTAAATGAAGTTGCCGATGTTACCAATACCTAAACACAAGAACACGCTGCTACTACAGTGATTACTAGTAGTAGTTGTAGCAGCAGTATAAGTTTAGTTGTGGTAGTAGTAGAAATAGTGGCGGTGGTAGTAGTTGTAATAGTGATAGTACTACTAGTAGTAGTAGCAGCAGCAGAAGTGGTGGTAGTAGTATTAGTTATTGTAGTAGTTACAGTAATTGTAGTAGTAGTAGTAGTAGTAGTAGTAGTAGTAGTAGTAGTAGTAGTAGTAGTAGTAGTAGTAGTAGAAGAAGAAGTAGTACATTGTTGACTTGAACGGTTTTGCCAAGATCCTCATTATCATGTAGCAGGTTATTTGCAGAACGTCGCTCTAATCACGGTCTGCCTGAAAGAAATTGAGTCTCTCGCCAACCCTACCGCCTCATGTATTCATACTAAAGTAGTCGTTTATATCCTGTGCCCATCTTCGTGTTGGTCGGCCCCTGCCCCTCCTTCCTGGTACCATGCCTCCTTGCTATTACTTGTCCAATCCGTCGCTTGGTATGACCGAAATGTTTCAGCTTCCGGGGCAGCGATCTTTAAGGGACGCTACTCTGATCTGTTACCAAAAATAAACTGGGATTTTACATGAATCTTTTATTAGGAATTCGCCTGAAAAAAATTTGTCGAAACTTTACCGATGATGATATTTTCTTAAACATTATTACCATCATAAAGTTAATATAAACAAACATATGTTACAGCTGCGACATTGGATATATTGAATCCAGAAACAAGCGAACGCGGGGGATCATGTCCTCACAATGACGCACAATGGATCAAGAAAACCGTAACAATGCAATCCTTGTTGTGTCAACGATCGGGCGGAAGAAAGATTCCACATCTTCTGTAGACGTTTTAGCTGGAACCTTGCTGACTTTCCTGGAAAAGAAAGAAATTAAAGGCAAAACCGAATACGTGTTCGAGGCGTTAGATGTGGATAAACACGTCAGAGTGTCGTGCGGTGTGAACGAGTTCAAATACATTTTGTTGATGGTGAAAGACTTGCTGAGACCTATACCGACGTGTAAGGAAAGGTTGGAAGTGTTTACCGACACTGAGTGGTTGAATGACGGCATCAGACTTAAGGTGGGAGACCAGGTGTTTGTTAAACTGAAAGGAGAGCAGAGTGAACTGCCAGGTGTCTTGAGATTCAAAGGAGCTGATGTTCCCGACTCCAAAGGCATTTACTTTGGAGTTGAATTAAAGGTATTGTGATGTCTTTGCCACATTTGTACGGTAGTTTCTGACACTTGCATATTTTCGTTCACTTCATCTATTTATAATTAATAATATAATATAATATAAGCTGTGACAGCATGATGATTAGAGCAGTTGCTTGCTCCAACAAGTGGCTGCATTTTTCCCACAACTGCTCTGCTGCACTCTAAAAACACGAGTACCAGCTAACTTTGGAATTTGTTTGGGAGGAACAGAAGATAGAGAAAGGAGCTGACTGTTCCTCATGTGGTGGCCTAGATTGTGGGAGGCACTAACACTCCATGCCCCATCATCCATTTCTGCTTTATGTGGATGTTTATATCCGTGTCGAGTGGTTCTGACTTTACAGCATTAGCATTTAGAATATGCTTATCCATCCATTTGGGGACATTTTTCTAATCCATTTGGGGACATTTTTCTAATCCTTTGAAGATGTTTGATGCAGAATTCCATCCTTCTTTTTCTGAATTCAAGTGTTTTTTATATTTATTTATTGGAAAGGGAGTGTATGGTGAAATTATGGCGTGCATTCTGTCATTGAGCAAACAGCTGCTCAAGAGAGTGAGACTGAGACGTATAGGATGACACCCAGTGCAGTGAAGTTGATTTTGTCATCTTTAAATAGCATTCGACATTTCCACAGCGGGAAGGAAGTGGCACCATCATTACAGTGATACTGGATGTCTGTAGAGATTAGATTCTGAAGTAATTACACAGCTGTCAATGCACATAATTGTGAAATGCGCAAGGAAAATATAAACTGACATGGGATGACTTGTTCAACAGCTTTGCGACTAGATCCAACCAATTTCAGCAAGCCTCAGAGGAAGGTTGTGGATACGTTCCAGAAAGGGAGCTGCTTGCTGCTTTAAATTTAAATGTAATATTGTTAATATTGCAATAAAGAATGAAATGGTTTGGTCACCTAGTGAAAATGAACCCAGGTATGCTGGTAGCAAGAGCTTGCAATATAAGAATAGATCCACAAAGATGTAGAGTGAGCCCTTGAAGAAAATGGATTAAAGGAGTCACTGACAGCTCAAGACTTTGCAGAATACTTAGCAGCAGTGTGTACCCTGATTCAACTGTCTGTCATCTTTTAAACAGCAAAACCATGCAGCACAGAGAACAACAAAACTATGCAGCACAGAGAACAACAAAACCATGCAGCACAGAGAACAACAAAACCATGCAGCACAGAGAACAGCAAAACCATGCAGCACAGAAAACAACAAAACCATGCAGCACAGAGAACAACAAAACCATGCAGCACAGAGAACAGCAAAACCATGCAGCACAGAGAACAACAAAACCATGCAGCACAGAGAACAACAAAACCATGCAGCACAGAGAACAACAAAACCATGCAGCACAGAGAACAGCAAAACCATGCAGCACAGAGAACAACAAAACCATGCAGCACAGAGAACAACAAAACCATGCAGCACAGAGAACAACAAAACCATGCAGCACAGAGAACAACAAAACCATGCAGCACAGAGAACAGCAAAACCATGCAGCACAGAGAACAACAAAACCATGCAGCACAGAGAACAACAAAACCATGCAGCACAGAGAACAACAAAACCATGCAGCACAGAGAACAACAAAACCATGCAGCACAGAGAACAACAAAACCATGCAGCACAGAGAACAACAAAACCATGCAGCACAGAGAACAGCAAAACCATGCAGCACAGAAAACAACAAAACCATGCAGCACAGAGAACAACAAAACCATGCAGCACAGAGAACAGCAAAACCATGCAGCACAGAGAACAACAAAACCATGCAGCACAGAGAACAACAAAACCATGCAGCACAGAGAAACAACAAAACCATGCAGCACAGAGAACAACAAAACCATGCAGCACAGAGAACAACAAAACCATGCAGCACAGAGAACAACAAAACCATGCAGCACAGAGAACAACAAAACCATGCAGCACAGAGAACAGCAAAACCATGCAGCACAGAGAACAACAAAACCATGCAGCACAGAGCAGATATTGGACATAATGAAAGGAGGTCATTGCAGTGAAGTGTATGAAAAAAGATGAAGTAAAAAAAGATGTTGTTTGGTTATTTGTAATTTTATTAACATGTTTCATTTTTTGTTAAATACAGTATATATGTAAAACAGTAATTTTTTTTTCATCTCTCTCATGTCACAAGGATAAAAAGGGAGCAAGTGATGGCTTATTTCGTCGAAAACGGTTTTTTACAACAGAGCAAGATTGTGCTGTCTTTGTTTCTTTAAACAAAATTCGAAAAAGCCGAGATGGCTGGCATAAAAGCACACGATCACGGGTTGATGAGAATGGTGAAAGTTTCTATCAGCAGCAGGAAAATGTAATCCAGTGCAATTTACGACTCGGGGAGAGAGTTGTGTGGGTGAGTGATGACGGACCAGAGAAGGGAACTGTTGAGTGGATCGGCCGCCTCCTGATGAGCCTGGTGATAATATTACTGTTGGGGTGGCATTTGTAAGTAGCTTTGTTTTCATATCTTCAAACTTCTTCTTGATGTCCTATTTCAAAGATTTATGTATTGGCGGAGATTTAAGGTTCTACTTCTTGCTCTTCTCACAGCCTCAACCACAGACACATCAAACTTTTGTAGAGTTTCTTGATTGTTTCTTTCCAACAATTTAAAAAAAAAAAAATCTGTGTTGGGTTTTATGTCCTTCTCCTCTTTTGATATATGTATAGTATTCATACATGTTTGATATGTTAATTAGATTAGACCATAAGTGTATAAAACAATGACAGAAGTGAAGCAGAAACAAGGATGAGAAAAACAGTAACAACAATTTAAAAAAAAATAGCATTGAATACAAGAATTGGGTAACCTGAAGAAAGAACAGTTCTTTGCCTGAGACGTTCATGTCATCATCTATTGAGTGCTGATTGTTCTTCTCTTCTTCTTTATGTTCACAGGCTGTAAACTCCAGGGGAAAGTTCTGGTTGTTTGTCCATCTCTGAACATTAGTCTTTTTACAGCATCAGAGTGTTGCATGCCTATCGTTTTACAGATCCAACTTATTTGTATGCAGACTATTGGTTTCTCACCTCAGGCACATGCACTCTGGCTTTGAAGACAGCTCCCCAATGGGGCCGGCGGAACCCACACCGGGACAAGTGCTGATTCTTCTTCTTTTCTTCTTTTGTCATCTCGCTGATACCAGGTTGTAGCCCAGTGTCGTGGTTTTATCGTCTCACTGATACCAGGTTGTAGCCCAGTGTCGTGGTTTTATCATCTCACTGATACCAGGTTGTAGCCCAGTGTCGTGGTTTTATCGTCTCACTGATACCAGGTTGTAGCCCAGTGTCGTGGTTTTGTCGTCTCACTGATACCAGGTTGTAGCCCAGTGTCCTGGTCTTGTCATCTCTCTGATACCAGGTTGTAGCCCTGTGTCCTGGTCTTGTCATCTCACTGATACCAGGTTGTAGCCCAGTGTCGTGGTTTTGTCATCTCGCTGATACCAGGTTGTAGCCCAGTGTCGTGGTTTTATCGTCTCACTGATACCAGGTTGTAGCCCAGTGTCGTGGTTTTATCGTCTCACTGATACCAGGTTGTAGCCCAGTGTCGTGGTTTTGTCGCCTCACTGATACCAGGTTGTAGCCCAGTGTCGTGGTTTTGTCGCCTCACTGATACCAGGTTGTAGCCCAGTGTCGTGGTTTTGTTGTCTCACTGATACTAGGTTGTAGCCCAGTGTCGTGGTTTTGTCATCTCCCTGATACCAGGTTGTAGCCCAGTGTTGTGGTTTTGTCATCTCACTGATACCAGGTTGTAGCCCAGTGTCGTGGTTTTGTTGTCTCACTGATACTAGGTTGTAGCCCAGTGTCGTGGTTTTGTCATCTCCCTGATACCAGTTTGTAGCCCAGTGTCGTGGTTTTGTCATCTCCCTGATACCAGGTTGTAGCCCAGTGTTGTGGTTTTCTCATCTCACTGATACCATGTTGTAACCCAGTGTCATAGTTTTGTCATCTCACTGAAACCATTTAACCCAGAGTTTTGAGTGGCTTTGGTGATGGATTTTTTCATATGTTTGGCGGTTTCTGCTACACCATTTATCCATCGCTTTCTTGATCTTCCCCTCACCTTCCTTCCAGATGTTCTGCTGTAAAAAGTCTCATTTGCAGTTGGGTCTGGCTGCATGCTAAATAGATGGCCAAACCATTTCATTCTTTGTCTGTCAGTGTAATCTAGACAGTGGTCTTATTCCAACTTTCTCTCTAGTTCTGGTATTTGTAACCCTGTCCCTTCTTGTGTTGTTTGTGACCTTGTAGAGACAGCGCATTTCACCTGTTGTTATTTTGTTCTAGTGCCCTGTTCATTGTCCATGTTTGGCACTGATAACACAAGGTAGGAATAGGGATGCCATTAATCATTTGCTGTTTTACTTGAAGGGAGACATTTGGGTGTCTAAGTAGTGGGGCTAACTGGTAGTTGACAGCATTTGCCTTCTGTACTCTGCTTCTGTCTGTGGGGCTAACTGGTAGGTGACAGCATTTGTCTTCTGTACTCTGCTTCTGTCTGTGGGGCCAACTGGTAGTTGACAGCTTTTGCCTTCTGTGCTCTTCTTCTGTCTGTGGGGCCAACTGGTAGTTGACAGCTTTTGCCTTCTGTACTCTTCTTCTGTCTGTGGGGCTAACTGGTAGGTGACAGCATTTGTCTTCTGTACTCTGCTTCTGTCTGTGGGGCCAACTGGTAGTTGACAGCTTTTGCCTTCTGTACTCTTCTTCTGTCTGTGGGGCTAACTGGTAGGTGACAGCATTTGTCTTATGTACTCTGCTTCTGTCTGTGGGGCTAACTGGTAGTTGACAGCATTTGCCTTCTGTACTCTGCTTCTGTCTGTGGGGCTAACTGGTAGTTGACAGCATTTGTCTTCTGTACTCTGCTTCTGTCTGTGGGGCTAACTGGTAGTTGACAGCATTTGTCTTCTATACTCTGCTTCTGTCTGTGGGGCTAACTGGTAGGTGACAGTCAAACAAGTACGAGATTTCAAATATCTAGAAAGTATATTACAGAGGATAGCAGACGATACAGAGACAGAGTACAGAGGGCAAATGCTGTCATGTTATTATGTTTCCTGCCTGTTCTCATTACGTCAGTTTTTGCAGTGTTTATTCTCATATAATACTTTGTTTAGGTTTGATGTAAGGAGTCAGTATGGTGTTGTAAATTTTGTTCTTAGAAGATTAGACATTAATCATCTGCACACACAAAAAAGTTGATTGATTTCTGCAGTGTCTGTATTTGCCTCCTGTGTAATTCTATCCAGGTAAGTAATGAATAGCAAAGGTGAGAGGGCACATCCCTCTCTGACACCTGATGAGATGGGAAACCAGGTCACCATTCCTTCTATTGTTCTTACTGACAATCTTGATAAGAAGCCGACATTATCCAGTAGTAGATCTTGGATACCATATTCTTCTAGAATTGTCAATAGTTTGCATCTGTTGACTTGATTGAATGCCTTCTCTTGATCTATAAATATAAGGTGTTGCCTTTTTTTGGGTGTGGTTTTTTTTTTTTTTTTGGTGGGTTCTAGTTTTAATTGATCTGTTTGCTTACTGTATTAATGTTATCATGTTTCCCGCTGTGTTAACATATCTTTTTGTCTGCTGTATTATTTCATTTTTTGGTGGTGGGGAGGGGGGGTCTACTTGATGAATTCAGCGTTGTGTGTGTGTGTACTGTTTTAAACCTATTTGTTTCTACTGTGTTAACTAATGAATCTGTTTATATGTGTCATGACAGGACAACCCAATTGGCACGGGCACAGGCAAATACAAAGACAAGCGGTTATTTTACACAAAACAAGGACATGCATCGTTGATTCCACTGATTGGCCTCATTAAAGAGGAGGAATTTGAGCATCCAGGTACTTGTCTTAATTTCTTCTCGCTGTGTTTCTGACACTGAATGCATGCCGGAGTGTGATTGTCATCTCTTTATGTTTGCTGCTTTAGCATTTACTATGAAATCTTTGCTGACTAAAACCATTATTGGTAAAGAAATATTGCTGCATGTGGTGGTATGTCTGATGGCTGCCTTATGCATTTGGTACATGTGAGAGCTGTTGAGTTTTTGCTGGGACTGCTGTCTGACTTTTCATACAATACAGTGATAGGCATTTTGTGTGTTTCTGTGTGGGGCGGGAACAGAGCAGTTGTTAAGTAAGCCATGTGTGGTGAAGTTAGAATCCTGACTGGTATCCTGAAAATAGGATATCTTACCTTGACAGGGTTTACCAATTCCATTAATTCATTCAGTTCTTTCAAACAGATGGGGGAACATAAAACTAAATATATATAAAAAAAATAGTGTTTCAGTAATCAAGTAAATGAAATCCTTAGACATATTGGATTAGAATTATCGAACAATTTAGTAAACATTGACACCAAAAGAGCACTATTTAATATAGTTTTTAACCATCATTGTGTTGTAAGTGCCAAATGTGGACATTGACAGCAAAAGGAAAAGAAACATAGAGACAGCAGAAATGATGATATCAGAAAACAAGCTGGGGGAAATCTAGTGCTAAACTCCTTCAAGAGGCCAGAGAAAAGAAAGTTTTGAATGTCAAGACTCCATAAGTGACCCACAGAGAGCCCTGATACTCAGTCGCAGTGGAACACACCTAGAGGCCGCCCATACAAGTAGTGGAACAATCCTAGAGGCCGCCCATACAATTAGTGGAACAAACCTAGAGGCCGCCCATACAAGTAGTGGAACAAACCTAAAGGCCGCCCATACAAGTAGTGGAACAAACCTAGAGGCCGCCCATACAAGTAGTGGAACAAACCTAGAGGCCGCCCATACAAGTAGTGGAACAAACCTAGAGGCTGCCCATACAAGTAGTGGAATAAACCTAGAGGCCATCCATACAAGTAGTGGAACAAACCTAGAGGACGCCCATACAAGTAGTGGAACAAACCTAGAGGCCGCCCATACAAGTAGTGGAACAAACCTAGAGGCCGCCCATACAAGTAGTGGAACAAACCTAGAGGCCGCCCATACAAGTAGTGGAGCAAACCTAGAGGCCGCCCATACAAGTAGTGGAACAAACCTAGAGGCCGCCCATACAAGTAGTGGAACAAACCTAGAGGCTGCCCATACAAGTAGTGGAACAAACCTAGTGGCCGCCCATACAAGTAGTGGAAGAAACCTAGAGGCTGCCCATACAAGTAGTGGAACACACCTAGAGGCCACCCATACAAGTAGTGGAACACACCTAGAGGCCGCCCATACAAATAGTGAAACAAACCTAGAGGCTGCCCATACAAGTAGTGGAACAAATCTAGAGGCTGCCCATACAAGTAGTGGAACAAACCTAGAGGCCTCCCATACAAGTAGTGGAACAAACCTAGAGGCCTCCCATACAAGTAGTGGAACAAACCTAGTGGCCTCCCATACAAGTAGTGGAACAAACCTAGAGGCTGCCCATACAAGTAGTGGAACAAACCTAGAGGCTGCCCATACAAGTAGTGGAACAAACCTAGAGGCCGCCCATACAAGTAGTGAAACAAAGCTAGAGGCTGCCCATACAAATAGTGGAACAAACCTAGAGGCCGCCCATACAAGTAGTGGAACAAACCTAAAGGCCGCCCATACAAGTAGTGGAACAAACCTAGAGGCCGCCCATACAAGTAGTGGAACAAACCTAGAGGCCGCCCATACAAGTAGTGGAACAAACCTAAAGGCCGCCCATACAAGTAGTGGAACAAACCTAGAGGCCGCCCATACAAGTAGTGGAACAAACCTAGAGGCCGCCCATACAAGTAGTGGACAGATGAATATCTGAAGCCGTTATTTCTAACATGCACACAGCAAACACCAAGGCTTGCACCAGATCTCTCTTGAAAACCTGACGTTGAAAGGCAGAACAGGATTTAGAGTTAAAAAAAAAGAGAGAAGAAGAATAGTTCAAATCATCGTCATCATCAAGTGTTAGCAGATTGTGTTGTGGTTTATAGGTAGACTGCGATATCTGCATCTTTTGGCCCAATACGGCTCTGATTTTAGTAAATCCCTAATTGGTCAAATTTACGACATGTTTGTTAGGAAAACAGTGGGTCTGTTGTTTCACTGGAATGTTGCCCTGGAATTTCCTTTCTTCATCGCCTTGTCTTCCAAGGAAATTGTCTGGTAGCCATTTTCACAGTTCTGGGTCGAGCTCAGAGCTGACACTGTCGCTGTTGAGGATTGACCCTAGACCAGTGCTGCAAGAGGCAAGCAGGTTAACTGCTTTGTCACCATAACTGGAACAGAACATTGAAGGCACCCATCATCTGGTTTTCTTGTTCTCTAGCTTCTCCAGACATCACTTTGTCACCATAACTGTAACAGAACATTGAAGGCACCCATCATCTGGTTTTCTTGTTCTCTAGGTTCTCCAGACATCACCTTGTCACCATGACTGTAACAGAACATTGAAGGCACCCTTCACATCGTCTGGTTTTCTTGTTCTCTAGCTTCTCCAGACATCACTTTGTCATCATAACTGTAACAGAACCTTGAAGGCACCCATCATCTGGTTTTCTTGTTCTCTAGGTTCTCCAGACATCACTTTGTCACCATGATTGTAACAGAACATTGATGGCACCCATCATCTGGTTTTCTTGTTCTCTAGGTTCTCCAGACATCACTTTGTCACCATGATTGTAACAGAACATTGAAGGCACCCATCATCTGGTTTTCTTGTTCTCTAGGTTCTCCAGACATCACCTTGTCACCATGACTGTAACAGAACATTGAAGGCACCCATCATCTGGTTTTCTTGTTCTCTAGCTTCTCCAGACATCACTTTGTCACCATGACTGTAACAGAACATTGAAGGCACCCTTCACATCGTCTGGTTTTCTTGTTCTCTAGCTTCTCCAGACATCTCTTTGTCACCATGATTGTAACAGAACATTGAAGGCACCCATCTGGTTTTCTTGTTCTCTAGCTTCTCCAGACATCACTTTGTCACCATGACTGTAACAGAACATTGAAGGCACCCTTCACATCGTCTGGTTTTCTTGTTCTCTAGCTTCTCCAGACATCACTTTGTCACCATGATTGTAACAGAACATTGAAGGCACCCATCATCTGGTTTTCTTGTTCTCTAGCTTCTCCAGACATCACTTTGTCACCATGATTGTAACAGAACATTGAAGGCACCCATCATCTGGTTTTCTTGTTCTCTAGCTTCTCCAGACATCACTTTGTCACCATGATTGTAACAGAACATTGAAGGCACCCATCATCTGGTTTTCTTGTTCTCTAGCTTCTCCAGACATCACTTTGTCACCATGATTGTAACAGAACATTGAAGGCACCCATCATCTGGTTTTCTTGTTCTCTAGCTTCTCCAGACATCACTTTGTCACCATGATTGTAACAGAACATTGAAGGCACCCATCATCTGGTTTTCTTGTTCTCTAGCTTCTCCAGACATCACTTTGTCACCATGATTGTAACAGAACATTGAAGGCACCCATCATCTGGTTTTCTTGTTCTCTAGCTTCTCCAGACATCACTTTGTCACCATGATTGTAACAGAACATTGAAGGCACCCTTCACATCGTCTGGTTTTCTTGTTCTCTAGCTTCTCCAGACATCACTTTGTCACTATGACTGTAACAGAACATTGAAGGCACCCATCATCTGGTTTTCTTGTTCTCTAGGTTCTCCAGACATCACTGATGTGGCATCTCCTGAATTTATCAGGCAACAAAAGCTGATGCTAGATCAGATTGCCAACTTGGCTGTCAACAGAGACCAAGGGACAATACAAAGATTGTCAGGCTCCAACCAAACAGTAAGTCAGCCTTCAGTCAAACAGTAAACTAGGCTAGAGCCTCTCAGTCAGTCAGACACCAAACAACTATAAGTCACTGTAAATAAGTCTGCTAGCGACTTCTTTAGGATAGGGAAAGGGTGGGTGGGTTATGTAATGAGAAACTGGAAAATCTAAAGGTCAGTCATTGGGTTTGAGTATAATTAATTAATCTGAATTATCAGTTGCAGTATAGTAGGGTAAAGGGGGGGGGGGGGCAAAACATTGTGATTTATAGTGGGAGAGGAGGAAATAAGTAATATAGTCTGGGGGGGGGGGGGGGGGTTCCCTCCTTCATGGAACTGCAGTTTCACTATAAAAAATAGGGCTGTGCCAAATAGTGATTTTCACTATTCGGCCGAATACGAATAGTGGGTCCAACTATTCGGCCGAATACGAATACGGATAGTGTATCATCATCATCAGGTGGGTCGTGTCGTGGGTAATCATGCCTCTCTACAATCTGCCATCTCCTGCAGCATGTATCAGTTCGTGTGCTGACACACCTCCATGCCAAGCAACAAGACTGTCAAGAATCTTGTATCGCTGACTTGCTCTATCCCTCCTCCACAGATCTTTCCAGTGGTCAACAAAAGTTCAATTTTCCGTCTTCTCATAACATGGCTGAAAAATTACGACTGTTTCCTTCTGATGTTTGTGATTAGTTGTCTTCGGGTTCCCGCCTCTTTCAAAACCATCGTTCGCTAGGCCTTTCGTTCGATGTAATTTAAACGCACCTTCATATTCTCTTTAGCAATATCTTCAAATTTGATTTGGGCGAAGACACCCTGAAAGAACGAAAAATGCATGATCTCATTCTCTCTCCCTCTCTCTCTTTCTCTCTCTCTCTCTCACACACACAGTACACACACACACACACACACTGCGGTTGGCATTTTATGCAGTTTGTACTACGCAACCAGGTCGCAGTTTTCCCCGCTACGACAGACTTAGGCAACAGCAACTATCGTGTTAATGAGACAGTTATTTCAGTCCATCACAGTGTATGCAGAAACGGGAGTAAGGTAAACACTGTTCGTATTCGGCCCGACCGCAACTATTCGGCCGAATACCGAATAGTTATTAGGTCCACTATTCGGTCCCGAAGCGAATACGAAGCGAATATTCGGTACAGCCCTAATAAAAAAGACTTACTTTCGGCGAGATAGAAGCTGATTTTACCTGTTTTATTTTCATTTCTCCACTGTTTGGGAAACATGTCAGCTTGTGTGAGTTACCTCATGTCTGCTTGTGTGAGTTACCTCATGTCAGCTTGTGTGAGTTACCTCATGTCTGCTTGTGTGAGTTACCTCATGTCTCCTTCTGTGAGTTACCTCATGTCTCCTTCTGTGAGTTACCTCATGTCTCCTTCTGTGAGTTACCTCATGTCTCCTTCTGTGAGTTACCTCATGTCTCCTTCTGTGAGTTACCTCATGTCTCCTTCTGTGAGTTACCTCATGTCTGCTTGTGTGAGTTACCTCATGTCAGCTTGTGTGAGTTACCTCATGTCTGCTTGTGTGAGTTACCTCATGTCTCCTTCTGTGAGTTACCTCATGTCTCCTTCTGTGAGTTACCTCATGTCTCCTTCTGTGAGTTACCTCATGTCTCCTTCTGTAAGTACCTAGCACCTTTGGCCAGAAGAAAGCGTCTGGCAGTTCTCAAAATGATTTTGTGTGTATTTGATCATCAGCATTGTGCAGTATTTAAAAGCTCTTTGACCCGAGGAGCTGTGTTACATAAAAACACAGCACCAGTTCCAGCTTGCTGTGACAGGAACAGTCACTGGCTACCATTAGCAAACAGAAAGCCAGTAAAATGTCTTGTTTATGAGGTCAAGTTTGCGGAGGAAAAGAATGACCAGTATGGAAAACTATCCACAGTGTATTTGCAGCCATGTGTTTGATAAGGGTATTCCCCTGGGTCTTTCTGCGACTACCTGTTCTTTCTTTGTTCCTGTATTTCCACTTGGCTAATTTATGTCTGCTGCCTGCATGTTATTTATGTCAGTTGTTTTACCCTTCCTGTTTGTGCAGTCATAAGTTTCTGTAGTTTTGTACTGTAGTATTGCTGTCTGTTACTAGGCTTGTGTTTGAGTTCCTGTCTGGTCACACTGACAACATAGGCTTGTTGTTTATTGAATCATCAGCGCTGGAGGCCTCATGGCTGTAACCCTCATGGCTGTAACCCTCATGGCTGTAACATAGTTCTTGTATGTTGGCAGTAAAGGTTGTCAGGCAGTACTGTAGGGATTTGCAGTGTTCGGCCTTCACAAATTCCAAACCATCACATGCAAGATGGGGTTGGAAGCCAGTTTTTTTCCTTAATGCCTTGTCTTTCCAAACTCCTGAAATTTGTCTGGATCCCATTTTGTGAGGGCTGGGTCAGCATTCTCTGTTTTATTTGTCTCACAACTAATATAGAAGGTTAAAACATTATGTAGTATCCCTTTTTTTTTGTCTCACATCTAATATAGAAGGTTACAACATTGTGTAGTATTCTGTTTTATTTGTCTCACAACTAATATAGAAGGTTAAAACATTATGTATTATTCTGTTTTATTTGTCTCACAACTAATATAGAAGGTTACAACATTATGTAGTATTCTGTTTTATTTGTCTCACAACTAATATAGAAGGTTACAACATTATGTAGTATTCTGTTTTATTTGTCTCACAACTAATATAGAAGGTTACAACATTATGTAGTATTCTGTTTTATTTGTCTCACAACTAATATAGAAGGTTAAAACATTATGTAGTATTCTATTTTGATTCCAACTCTCTGTAAAATGTTCTGCTTCATTTCACTGTTCTCAGACAAACATCGATCAAAGATTGTCAGAAACTACAGCCTTAGGAAATGCTGGGCAGAACAATCTGCAGTTACAGCAGGATGTGTTGAAGAAGAAGGCAGTGGATTCCAGTGGCTTAAATCCTATTTATGAGCATACCAGACTTCAAGGTTTGTATTGTACAATGTTAGCAATTATTGATGGATTTGAATGCAGACTGTTTGTTCCTCGCCTCTAAGGTTGATGCACTCCAGCATGAGAGGAAACATCCCATACCTCTATGACATGCTTGTTAAGGAGGACAGTAGAGTATATTTCCCCCCCCCCCCCCCCACCAATATGGGGCTCTGGAATCCAAATGGGGAAATGCGGTCTCAAAGATTGGACAAGAGAGACAACTACAAGATTGATTGCAGATCCTGCCTGACAGTCTCATCAACAAGGCTACAGGGGGCTTGACACAAGTTGGTGAGAGCCTGTGCTCCATTGTATGAAAGAATACTGATTGCCAAGGTTCAGAAATATCTTGATTGGAAATATTTAATATCTTCTTCTTTGCGCTCTGCCAAAACTATGACTTACTTTCTGTATTTACCACTTCTGCTGTGAAGGTGGGGGATTTTTGAACTTGAGGATTTAGAGCTGTGTGGCTGGGGCTGTCGCCACGGACTGTGCCAATAAGAATTTGATTTTTGCCCTGGCAGAAAAGAATCCATCTTTGTGCTCAACAGCTATAAACTTTAGCAGAAAGTTATGGTTGTTCTGGACTTTTGTCTGGTCCCAGAACTTGAGTGTTAATGCATGCACAACAGTTTTACATGTCCGGCATATCTGTGTGCAGATTGTTGGTTCCTTGCTTCTCAGGCAGATGCACTCTGACTTGAAAGCAAATCCCTAATCAGTGCCTACGACATGCTTGTAAGGTAGGCAGTGGGTCTATTCTGGTTTTTCCCATAAGAGAGCCCCAGAACCCACACCAAGAATATTCAAGGTAATTTTTCTTATAATGTCCTGCTGTGCAACTGTTTTTCCCTAAAATGATTGATATCCACAGAAGAACCAGGAAGTGTTGGATCTAAAGGTTCTGGCAACTTTGGCCGAACCACTAACCAAGATCCAGACCCAGATCTGAGCGTGGGCTCTATGGTTGAGGTCCAGCTGAGGTTTCCCTTGTACGGGGTGATCCGGTGGATTGGCAACACGGACGAGCAGTCTGGGAAACTGACAGCGGGCTTGGAAATGGTAGGTTCACTTTTTGCTTGATAGCATTTTGTTTAGTTGATTTTCTGTTACATCTCTAGAATCTCAATGGATTTTCTGTTACATCTCTAGAATCTCAATGGATTTTCTGTTACATCTCTAGAATCTCAATGGATTTTCTGTTACATCTCTAGAATCTCAATGGATTTTCTGTTACATCTCTAGAATCTCAATGTATTTTCTGTTACATCTCTAGAATCTCAATGGATTTTCTGTTACATCTCTAGAATCTCAATGGATTTTCTGTTACATCTCTAGAATCTCAATGGATTTTCTGTTGTCTTTCTTATCCTCCTCCTTTTCTATTTCTGTGTTTATTCCTAAAGGGCAATGGGCAATTTGTGTTGTAGTTTACAGCTAGGCTGCAAATATCTGTGTCTGTTAACTCAACACTTTCAGTTTTAGCAGCTAGATAGCTAGTCTCTGTTTATGACATGTTTGTTCAAGTTCAGTGGCTGTGTCCACCCCCCCCCCCCCCCTTTCCTTAAATAAGGCCCAGCAGCCACACTGTCGGGGGAAATGGGCCCTTCTAGCTCTTGAAGTACCAAAGGGCGGACCATATGTGAATGACTTTTATATGACAGCGGCAACTAATCTTCTTCTTTGACATTACTCCAGACCCCTGAGGTTCACTGGTCCGGGTATCACCAGCCTCCATTCCTCTCTGTGATTGATCTTCTCTTTTCAAAAGGTATCTCAGATTATATGTAGGTAACTGCATCCACATTCGAGGCTTAGATATGTTTAATGATGAAATGAGGTGCTACAAAGGTGGGGGTGTCAAACCATCGTTGGAGGACCAACTCCTAACCTGGAGGATCAGGGTGTATCTCTCCGATCTCTACCCTTTGACTTGTCCAGCTTGGAAGGCCCTGCTGATAGCTATGCAACTGTCGACATAGCTCTTAAGGTCTCTGAGAAACACAAGCTTCCCCACCACAACAAGGCAGAGACACATTTGTGCAGCTGATAAGTTACCATGTCATTAGTGATTGTGCTTCAGAGCAGACTGACCTAGAGAAAAACAGGTCAATACTTCACTTGGTCAAATAGCACATGATTATAATAACAGATATTAAGTGCAACTTGACCCCTGCCATATGTTGTATATTTTGCTATCACTTTTACTCTTTATGTTAATTTTATGTTTACAGGAAGAAGAACTGTCAGCCGGCACTGATGGAACATTTAAAGGAGTTCGCTACTTCACATGTCTGCCCAAAAAAGCTTTGTTTGTTCCCTTATACAAGTGTAGTAAGGACAGGAGGTTTCCCACATCTGATAGAAAACTATCCAATGGTAAGCATTTCTTGTTTCTTAAGAAGATTAATGCAGATATATTCCATGCCTGGTAAAAATGTCAGATAGTAATCATTTCCTGATTGATACAGCGGAAAAATGTCAGATAGTAATATTTCCTGATTGATACAGCAGAAAAATGTCTGATAGTAATCATTTCCTGATTGATACAGTGTAAAAATGTCAGATAGTAATCATTTACTGATTAATACAGTGTAAAAATGTCAGATAGTAATCATTTCCTGATTGATACAGCGGAAAATGTCACATAGTAATCATTTCCTGATTGATACAGCAGAAAAATGTCACATGGTATTCATTTCCTGATTTAAACAGATGAAATATATCAGATTGTAATAATTTTCTGGTTGATACAGTGTAAAAATGTCACAGAGTAATCATTTCCTGATTGATACCACAGTATTCATAGTCTGTTAGAGCAGCTTCAGATGGTTAGCATATCCTCTCATTGCATAAGCAATAAACTACCTTCAGTTATGGAAAGATATGAGGTTGTTTGAGCATTCATCTATCAGAGTGAGCTGGTTATAGAGACCTGGTACAAAAATCTTCTACACAAGACTGTGTTGCTTTGTTACAAAGCTTGCTGAGGATGATGGAGAAAGGCATGCTGTGTGCAGAGTGGCAAGCATGGCTATAGAGGTTCCCGGTGGTTAGCACTGATCATTTCTCTTGAGAATCAAGTTGCATTGGGAAATGAACTGGCAGATATATTGGCTAGTGCTGCACCACTAGGTGGTGAATTGATGTGTGATAAGCTAGACGTGAGAGTGATCTAACATTATGTGTTACCCCCGTGTGGGTTCCGGGACGTGAGAGTGATCTAACATTATGTGTTACCCCCGTGTGGGTTCCAGGACGTGAGAGTGATCTAACATTATGTGTTACCCCCGTGTGGGTTCCGGGACGTGAGAGTGATCTAACATTATGTGTTACCCCTGTGTGGGTTCCGGGACGTGAGAGTGATCTAACATTATGTGTTACCCCTGTGTGGGTTCCGGGACGTGAGAGTGATCTAACATTATGTGTTACCCCCGTGTGGGTTCCGGGACGTGAGAGTGATCTAACATTATGTGTTACCCCCGTGTGTGTTCCGGAACGTGAGAGTGATCTAACATTATGTGTTACCCCTGTGTGTGTTCCGGGACGTGAGAGTGATCTAACATTATGTGTTACCCCCGTGTGTGTTCCGGGACGTGAGAGTGATCTAACATTATGTGTTACCCCCGTGTGTGTTCCGGGGCCCTACAATGGGAAAAACAAGAATAGACCCACTGCCTACCCAAAAGCATGTCGTAAGAATCGACTAATTGGGAGCTTTCTTCGAAGTCGAAGTGCATCTGCCTGAGAGGCAAGAAACCAAGAGTCTGCATACAGATCTGTCAAACGGATGCACACGCAACACTCAGGTTCTGGAACAGGACTGCAGTCCAGAATTGGACGAACAACCATAATTTTCCGCCGGAGTTTTTGGCCGGTGAACGCGAAGAAGAAAAAGAAGATTATGTGTTACTTGATTAACATTATGTGTGAATGATCTAACATTATGTGTGAATGATCTAACATTATGTGTTACTTGATTAACATTATGTGTGAATGATCTAACATTATGTGTGAATGATCTAACATTATGTGTGAATGATCTAACATTATGTGTGAATGATCTAACATTATGTGTGAATGATCTAACATTATGTGTGAATGATCTAACATTATGTGTGAATGATCTAACATTATGTGTGAATGATCTAACATTATGTGTGAATGATCTAACATTATGTGTGAATGATCTAACATTATGCGATAATGATCTAAAATTATGTGATAATGATCTAAAATTATGTGAGAATGATCTAATATAATGTGAGAATGATCTATCATTGTGTGTGAATGATCTAACATAATGTGAGGATGATCTAACATTATGTGAGAATGATCTAACATTATGTGAGAATGATCTAACATTATGTGAGAATGATTTGACATTATGTGAGAATGATCTAACATTGTGTGAGAATTATCTAACATTATATGAGAATGATCTAACACTGTTAACCATGTTTATATATTGGATACTTCTGATATAATTCACTCCTCTTATTTTTTTTCCAGAGTTTGGGAGTCAGTCAACTCCAGATATTGAAGGAGATATACCACCTCCGGAAATATTTTCAGCTTCTGAATTCAAACTTGTTTGTGGCAAAAACAAAGGCATTCAGGGACATCACAACTCATGTTATTTAGATGCCACGCTGTTCTGTATGTTTTATTTTACGACTGTGTTTGACTTTATATTTAATCGGCCACCTGGCGTTGAGGATATCGCGGAGTACCCCAAGGTGCAGAAGGTTCTTAAAGAAGGCATTGTCAACCCACTTAGGAAGTATGTATGTTTGTCTGTGTGGATGTGTGTATGAGACGCTGTTGTCTTTCTAAGTGATAGCCTTATATTGTGTAATAGAGGGGTGTGGGGATTACAGCCCTTGGCCAGGAGGAGAGTATGACCAGCAAGACCTGCTCTAGTTAAGAAGTCTTTCATAATTAGATTGAAGGGCCTTTGTTGCCATCACATGTATTCTCCAGGCTTCTTGTCTGCTGAGCTTTTAACCTGTCTGGGATCATGTTCTCCTCCTCCTCATTGAGCCACATTTGCAGTCAGAGATGGCGCTGTGGTGAGATGTTTGCTTGCCTACTCACAGTTCTTGGGTTTGAATCTGCACCAAGTAGAGTTCATGTAGAAATTGTCATTGGCCAACCATCTCACCCTAGCCTTAAATGGGCACCAAGAAATGCTTTGGGAAGTGGATGGGGGTAATTTCATGTTGATCACATCAAACATTGAGTGGCCATAAGTCTAGTCACATGACTGATGTGTCACATGACTGATGTGTCACATGACTGATGTGCCTGTGTGCAGTGAGGGTCCTTCACTTTACTTAACTATAATTATCCCAGCTATCACTAAATACGGCAAACAGTGTAACTTGAAAGCTCATGGAGGGAATGGAAAAGCACATACAGATACAGCCCTATGTTTCAAACAGTGTCTTTATCAGCAGAGTATTACCAACATAAATTTCAGATATGACAGCTACTTGTTACATTTTGTTTCTCTCAACTGCTAATTACTGCACACACAATTGCCACTTTCTGATTTTCTTATAAATGTTGAAAATTACTTGGATAGAGCTGTCCTGAGAAAACTGGAGTTGTTGGGGGGACAGTGCAGACCAAACAACATAAAGAAAATCCAATGAGAGGGGGATGTGGCCAAAAGTGGGGAGGACATGGGGGTGAGCTACATATCCTGGCAAAGGATGGGACAACTAGAGAGAGATTCAAATACAGAAGGCTGGAGGAGCTTTCATTGCACTATGAATTTGGCAGGAGTCGAAATAAATGAAAACTAGCACTAAGCTTGAAACCAATCATTCTGATGTCAAATTCATGTTGTTGTATGGAGCTGAAACATGGAGAACAGTTAAAAAGGTTACTAATAAACTACAAACATTCATTAACTTGTGCCTGCGCAGAATAGATGGAATAAAATGGTATGATAGAATCACTAATGTTGAGCTTTTGGGAGAGAAGTAAACAAGTTCCAGTGGACCAAGAGGTGAAGAAAAGACGCTGGTGTTGGATAAGGCACACATTGAGAAAACCTGAGAACAATATAACTAGAATTCCTTTGCACTGGAACCCACATAGGGCATAGAAATAAAGGCAGACCAACAAAAACACATAAAGAAGAGAGCTAAAGAGTGAAGTTAAAAAGATGAGGACAAGTGGTGAGCTGCAGTGCAGAAATGAAGGATAAAATAACTTGGTTGATTTAACTTTCAATATTGTTATTACTTGCAACATGTAATGTAACTTAAGATACTGTTGTTATTATTTCAGAAATAACTATGTCAGGGCAGATAAAGTCTTGAAGCTGAGAGCTCTGCTCGATGAATTGGGGACAGTACCTGGTATGATGGGAGAAGAAAAAGGTAGGATGAGTCCCTTACATCTGTTTTATTTTGTTTCATTTATGTACAGTAGTTAACTTTTGCACGTCTTCCTCTTCTTTGTTGTCTGTTGTCCACCATTGGAGAATAGACCCTTAGTCAACCCATGCCAAGTTGTCTGTTGTCCACCATTGAAGAATAGAATGGACTGGAAATTGCAATCTCTAATTGTGATCTTAAATTAGGCAGCTCTTGCCGGTCACACTTGCCATCACCATAGGCAGTTCTTGCGGGTCACACTTGCCATCAAAGCTGCTGGACTGAATTCCATCCACGATCTTGAACTGATTGCACAGATAGAACAGAATGGAGGAATAGACTGCCAGCCCTATGTGAGATAGAATGGCACATCAAAATGATATGTCTTCATGTTATTCACCAGTGTAACGGTCCATTTTCTTATTTGTATTAAATTTTCTCATTTTTTGGAAATGAGGACAACTACTAAACATACATTAAATGCAAGAATTTTGATGGAATGCATTGATTACTAATAATGTAGGTGTTAACAGATTAAGTATGGGATATTTACTTGAGGCAAATGCGCAGTTTGGCTAAAGTGTGCCAGATGAGAAAAGCATGACATTATGAGTAAAACTTTTGAGTGCACAAAGAGTCAGTCAGTCAGTAGCATGTCCTTTGCAGGACCTTGCTCCCACAACAACGCTCCAGAAAACATCTTGATCACAAGCAAGATGTCCTGCGTCCGATACACCCATCTGGAGATCATCCTCCACATCCTGCACATCCTTCTCTTTGACCTTCCTCTTCCTCTCTTCCCAGGCATATACCCCTCCATTATTGCTCTCTCTAAACTCTTGTGGCATTCCAAGTGACCAAAATATTTCAGTTTTCTTTATTTTATTATCTTTAAAAGCCAACCTTCTTCAGTATTCGGTTCTTGAAGTATAGATGTATTTGTTATTTTCTTTACCCATTATATTCTTAGAACCCGTCTATAAAATTTGTATTCAAGGGCATTAATGCGCTGTTCAGCTTGTTTAGTAAGTGTCCAGGTCTCTGAGGCCTATTTCGCAAAAGAAAGATGTATGCCCTTAGAAATCTAATTTTTGTAGTTCTATCTGTCCCACTCCATCATTTATTCAGTTGTTTTAGTCTTTGAAGAGCAATTGATAGTCGTCATTTAATTTCTTTCATTGTGTCACCATTGTTGGTAATCAATGACCCAAGATATTCAGAATTTTCCGCAACCTCCAATCTTTCCTTATTAACATATACTTCTTTCTCCATAGTACTTTTATTTGTATGCATTATCTTTGTTTTTGTGAAATAAGTTGTGATTTTCACTATTTCTTTGGGTTGAGTTTATGAAGTTTTATAGACCAGTCTGTGATGTGGATAGCAGTACCGTTTCATCAGCATATCAGATCTCTGGTGCACAAAGAGATTATTTAAACTTGGAGTGAATGAGAAAGCTCATTCTTATTTTTGATCCTTTGAGAGCCTGGTCTTGTGGGGCTTGGAATACCCGAGTTAAATGTATCCTGAGATGGAGCAAGTGTGATCAAGCTACCGGCCTGTTTCCTGAAAAGAAAAGAAACTGGCTGTCTCTCCATGACTACTTGAAATGGAGGATTTGTCTGCTGAACTTGCAGTATGTGAATGCAAAGTTGGTAGTTCTGATATGCAAACATGAGATGTGCTAACCTGAGAAATCTACCCAATAATGAAAGTAATTAAAACGAGCAATGAAGTAGCTGGTACCCTAGAGAACGTACCTCTGACTCATTGACTGAGAGGAACAGTGTTGGAGCAGTAAACCCTGGTTATCAGCTGTTCAGTGTTTTTTCAACATTTGTTCTTATTTCAAGAACAGGATTGTCAATGTGCTTGAGTAGGCTGCATGATTTGAGCCCAGAGAGTCTTGCACTAGCTCCCATATGGATCTGTTCTAAAACTTGGTACCTGGCAAATGTTCTGTAAATGAGAAGAATGTTTGTGTGTGTGGATACAATATGTTGCTAAAATTATGCAAACTTGTTTCCTGATAACGTTTCTGCTTTTGTCTCAAATATCTTCTGCAAACAGTGATCTGACCCTGCAGTTGTGTACATCACCTGATTATCAAAATGGCTAACAAGTGATTATCTTGTTTACATGCATGATATGCTTCAGTGTGACCTGTTAATCTCAATACTGTGTGGATTTTTCTTCATATATCATACAGATTTGTCAATCTTTCTTCATACACAATACAGATTTGCCAATTTTTCTTCGTACACTATACAGATTTGTTAATATTTCTTTGTACACCATACAGGTTTGTTGATTGTTGTTCATACACTATGCTCTTTTGTTTCACAGTTTGTCGTTAAACATTTTGTTTTTCCATTTTCAGATCCAGAGGAATTTCTTAGTGCATTATTAACCCAGATCATGAAAGCTGATCCGTTGCTACATTTAAGGTATTACAGTACTGTTGAATATTTGTTTCATTAGTTGTGTGTTGTAGCTTAGTGAGAGACCTCGGCTTCTTATGTTTCACAAGAAACAAGAATTAACGCCTTTAACTTAGGAAGTCTTTATACAGTCGTCTGCTTACCTTACAAGGTTAATAAGGAAAAAGTCGAGAGAATCAACTTCCTTGCACAGGATTGATTGGTCTCTCTCCGCAGAGTGGCAAGCCATCGGTTGGTCTCTCTCCGCAGAGTGGCTAGCCATTGGTTGGTCTCTCTCCGCAGAGTGGCTAGCCATTGGTTGGTCTCTCTCTGCAGAGATGACTTGTTACTCTTAGATAGTTTGTTGCCCTTAGATAGCTAGTTGCCCGTGAACTAGGAGAGTTAAGTCAAGCCTATCACATTTAAACTCTATTTCATAAGAGCATATATAAATAACATTTTGTATTTTCAGTTCTGGAGAGCATACATATTTCTACCAGCTCTTCATGGAGAAGGATGAGAATCTCTTGCTGCCGACCACTCAGAAACTGGTGGAGCTTTCATTTTTACAGGGAAATGTCAAATTGAAACAGGTGAATTTGATGATGGTACAGATGAAGGGTGTCAAAGGATGCTGTTAGCTTTTTATGAGAGAGTGGAATACTAATGATAACAACTTTAGATGAATGAGTTATTTTTGTGTTTATTTGTTTGCTTGCAGTGTAGACTAGGAGTAGGCCATTGATTGTAACAGTGTAGACTAGGAGTAGGCCATTGATTGTAACAGTGTAGACTAGGAGTAGGCCATTGATTGTAACAGTGTAGACTAGGAGTAGGCCATTCATTGTAACAGTGTAGACTAGGAGTAGGCCATTCATTGTAACAGTGTAGACTAGGAGAAGGCCATTCATTGTAACAGTGTAGACTAGGAGTAGGCCATTCATTGTAACAGTGTAGACTAGGAGTAGGCCATTCATTGTAACAGTGTAGACTAGGAGTAGGCCATTCATTGTAACAGTGTAGACTAGGAGTAGGCCATTCATTGTAACAGTGTAGACTAGGAGTAGGCCATTGATTGTAACAGTGTAGACTAGGAGTAGGCCATTCATTGCAACAGTGTAGACTAGGAGTAGGCCATTCATTGTAACAGTGTAGACTAGGAGAGCCATTCATTGTAACAGTGTAGACTAGGAGTAGGCCATTCATTGTAACAGTGTAGACTAGGAGTAGGCCATTCATTGTAACAGTGTAGACTAGGAGTAGGCCATTCATTGTAACAGTGTATAGTCAGAGAATTAGTGAAGTCATGTTAACAGCTACAGTTGAGAATGAGAGAATTATTGAAGTCATGTTAACAGCTACTGTTGAGAATTAGAGAATTATTGAAGTCATGTTAACAGCTACTGTTGAGAATGAGAGAATTAGTGAAGTCATGTTAACAGCTACAGTTGAGAATTAGAGAATTATTGAAGTCATGTTAACAGCTACTGTTGAGAATGAGAGAATTAGTGAAGTCATGTTAACAGCTACTGTTGAGAATAAGAGAATTAGTGAAGTCATGTTAACAGCTACTGTTGAGAATGAGAGAATTAGTGAAGTCATGTTAACAGCTACTGTTGAGAATAAGAGAATTAGTGAAGTCATGTTAACAGCTACTGTTGAGAATGAAAGAATTAGTGTAGTCATGTTAACAGCTACTGTTGAGAATGAAAGAATTAGTGAAGTCATGTTAACAGTTACAGTTGAGAATGAAAGAATTAGTGTAGTCATGTTAACAGCTACTGTTGAGAATTAGAGAATTAGTGAAGTCATGTTAACAGTTACAGTTGAGAATAAGAGAATTAGTGAAGTCATGTTAACAGCTACTGTTGAGAATGAGAGAATTATTGAAGTCATGTTAACAGCTACAGTTGAGAATGAGAGAATTAGTGAAGTCATGTTAACAGCTACTGTTGAGAATGAAAGAATTAGTGGAGTCATGTTAACAGCTACTGTTGTGAATGAGAGAATTAGTGAAGTCATGTTAACAGTTACAGTTGAGAATGAGAGAAATAGTGAAGTCATGTTAACAGTTACAGTTGAGAATGAGAGAATTAGTGAAGTCATGTTAACAGCTACAGTTGAGAATGAGAGAATTAGTGAAGTCATGTTAACAGCTACAGTTGAGAATGAGAGAATTAGTGAAGTCATGTTAACAGCTACTGTTGAGAATAAGAGAATTAGTGAAGTCATGTTAACAGCTACTGTTGAGAATGAAAGAATTAGTGTAGTCATGTTAACAGCTACTGTTGAGAATGAGAGAATTAGTGAAGTCATGTTAACAGTTACAGTTGAGAATGAGAGAATTAGTGAAGTCATGTTAACAGTTACAGTTGAGAATGAGAGAATTAGTGAAGTCATGTTAACAGTTACAGTTGAGAATGAGAGAATTAGTGAAGTCATGTTAACAGCTACTGTTGAGAATGAGAGAATTAGTGAAGTCATGTTAACAGCTACAGTTGAGAATGAGAGAATTAGTGAAGTCATGTTAACAGCTACTGTTGAGAATGAAAGAATTAGTGGAGTCATGTTAACAGCTACTGTTGAGAATGAGAGAATTAGTGAAGTCATGTTAACAGTTACAGTTGAGAATGAAAGAATTAGTGTAGTCATGTTAACAGCTACTGTTGAGAATGAAAGAATTAGTGTAGTCATGTTAACAGCTACTGTTGAGAATGAAAGAATTAGTGAAGTCATGTTAACAGCTACTGTTGAGAATGAAAGAATTAGTGAAGTCATGTTAACAGCTACTGTTGAGAATGAGAGAATTATTGAAGTCATGTTAACAGTTGCAGTTGAGAATGAGAGAATTAGTGAAGTCATGTTAACAGCTACTGTTGAGAATTAGAGAATTATTGAAGTCATGTTAACAGCTACTGTTGAGAATGAGAGAATTATTGAAGTCATGTTAACAGTTGCAGTTGAGAATGAGAGAATTAGTGTAGTCATGTTAACAGCTGCAGTTGAGAATGAGAGAATTAGTGAAGTCATGTTAACAGCTGCAGTTGAGAATGAGAGAATTAGTGAAGTCATGTTAACAGCTACAGTTGAGAATGTGAGAATTAGTGAAGTCATGTTAACAGCTACAGTTGAGAATGAGAGAATTAGTGAAGTCATGTTAACAGTTGCAGTTGAGAATGAGAGAATTAGTGAAGTCATGTTAACAGCTACAGTTGAGAATGAGAGAATTAGTGAAGTCATGTTAACAGCTACAGTTGAGAATGAGAGAATTAGTGAAGTCATGTTAACAGTTGCAGTTGAGAATGAGAGAATTAGTGAAGTCATGTTAACAGCTACAGTTGAGAATGAGAGAATTAGTGAAGTCATGTTAACAGCTACAGTTGAGAATGAGAGAATTAGTGAAGTCATGTTAACAGCTACAGTTGAGAATGAGAGAATTATTGAAGTCATGTTAACAGTTACAGTTGAGAATGAGAGAATTAGTGAAGTCATGTTAACAGCTACAGTTGAGAATGAGAGAATTATTGAAGTCATGTTAACAGCTACTGTTGAGAATGAGAGAATTAGTGAAGTCATGTTAACAGCTACAGTTGAGAATTAGAGAATTAGTGGAGTCATGTTAACAGCTACAGTTGAGAATGAGAGAATTATTGAAGTCATGTTAACAGCTACTGTTGAGAATGAGAGAATTAGTGGAGTCATGTTAACAGCTACAGTTGAGAATTAGAGAATTAGTGAAGTCATGTTAACAGTTACAGTTGAGAATGAGAGAATTATTGAAGTCATGTTAACAGCTACAGTTGAGAATTAGAGAATTATTGAAGTCATGTTAACAGCTACAGTTGAGAATGAGAGAATTATTGAAGTCATGTTAACAGCTACAGTTAAGAATGAGAGAATTATTGAAGTCATGTTAACAGCTACAGTTGAGAATGAGAGAATTATTGAAGTCATGTTAACAGCTACAGTTGAGAATTAGAGAATTTTTGAAGTCATGTTAACAGCTACAGTTGAGAATGAGAGAATTATTGAAGTCATGTTAACAGCTACTGTTGAGAATTAGAGAATTATTGAAGTCATGTTAACAGCTACAGTTGAGAATGAGAGAATTAGTGAAGTCATGTTAACAGCTACAGTTGAGAATGAGAGAATTAGTGAAGTCATGTTAACAGTTACAGTTGAGAATGAGAGAATTAGTGAAGTCATGTTAACAGTTACAGTTGAGAATGAGAGAATTAGTGAAGTCATGTTAACAGCTACTGTTGAGAATGAGAGAATTAGTGAAGTCATGTTAACAGTTACAGTTGAGAATGAAAGAATTAGTGGATACATGCCACAACATTAGGTCTCAGGTCCTAGAAGAAGGCTAGTGTCCTCCCCAAAGTGGTCCTTCACATGAAGCCGTTGACACAAGTGAGGTTTTAGGTCTTAACCCAGACCATTTAGTTGCTAAATTAGCTCCTAGTGTGGTTGCTGCAATAGGTCAGTAGACTCAATGTTAATGTACATGTTCTGATTTGTCAGGGTGGCAGACAGGTTGTGTCATCTACCTCTGGTTTGTGCAGACCAAGTTCCTTTCACAGTCTGTACTATATTTTTTATAAAAGAAGCAAAAGATTATTTATATAAATCTTCGACTAGTGGGTCGGACATCTGAACTTCTCGGACATGTAAATCTTTGACTAGTGGGTCGGACATCTGAACTTCTCGGACATGTAAATCTCTGACTAGTGGGTCGGACATCTGAACTTCTCGGACATGTAAATCTTTGACTAGTGGGTCGGACATCTGAACTTCTCGGACATGTAAATCTTTGACTAGTGGGTCGGACATCTGAACTTCTTGGACATGTAAATCTTTGACTAGTGGGTCGGACATCTGAACTTCTCGGACATGTAAATCTTTGACTAGTGGGTCGGAAATCTGAACTTCTCGGACATGTAAATCTTTGACTAGTGGGTCGGAAATCTGTACTTCTCGGACATGGATGAAAATAGTAATTAAAAAATGTCCTTGATATAGAAAGGATCAGGCTGAACAGGCCACTAGCTATGCTAAATTTAATCAATAAATATGAGAAAAGGTACCCACAGGAAGAATATTTAGAGCTTGTGTGTTACTGGTGTTTCCACATCTTTGCATCCTGGCTGGGTGCTAAAATCCGTAGACTGTTGAGAATCGCCAGATATTTCTGCAATGAAATCAAGACTCAACAGCCTGGTTTGTCTGTATACAGGTCCCCTCCTGCCTAATGATCCAGATGCCAAGGTTCGGCAAAGAGTATAAAATGTTTCACCGCATTGTGCCTAGTTTGCAGCTAGATATAACGGATATTCTTGAAAATTGTGAGTACTTGCTTCCATGGTGTTTCATAAATAGTTTTCTGTACTCGCCTGCTTTCTGTGTTTTTGATGACTTCAGCTTTCTTCTGTGTCATAAACTCACCTGCCACTGTTCATCCTGCCCACTTTTCTCACCTCTGTTGACCTCTCTGTCTTTTACCACATACCCCTGTCTCTGAAGAAATTCTGCTGTGATATGTTTGCTGTCAAAATCTTTTTTAATACTGTATGTTGTGAAAGTATTTATATTTGGCCATTTTACCACAAGAAGCCTAAATGCTGTTACTTCCGGATGTGACACAATACCCGTAAATGCCCGTATATCAACGTTTCTGCAATGGTCTGTCACTGAAAAGCCTAATTAAATGTCATTTGTTCTGTTCGCACCTGCTCAGAATTTATAAGGCTCAGATATGAATATATTTACTAAAAGCAGCATTTGGGGGGGGGGGGGGGGGGGTATGGTTTCCTTGTGAAAAATGTTTTTTGTTTTGTTTTTTGAAAGCCATTGTGAATCAAAAATGTCCTTAGCCTCATAATAGAGGTCACGGATTGTGCCACATATTTGTTTAAGGCAGCAGGGCATGTATTCCATTGAATATGTTACTCTGTTCATGTTTATTGTTTACTTCCTTTATATATCTTTCTATATATTAAAAAAAAAAAAATAACCTGTAGATAATATTTTTTTTTTTACTTTTGCAGCGAACTGTGTAAAATGTGTGTGTGTTTAAGGAATTTTCATGGGTTTAATAAATATATTAAAGATACCAACAACAAACAGATCATGTAGGAAATTAAGATACACATTGGCAAAGCAACAACAGTCTTTGAAAGCCTTCACAAAATATGGAGCTCCAAATTAGACAACTTTAAGACCAAACTACGAATTTTCAATTCTAACTTTTTTTCAGTTCTACCATATGCCAGCAAAAGTTGGAGACCCACCAGAGATATGGAACAAAAGTTGGAGAACCACTAGAGATATGGAACAAAAGTTGGAGAACCACTAGAGATATGGAACAAAAGTTGGAGACCCACCAGAGATATGGAACAAAAGTTGGAGACCCACCAGAGATATGGAACAAAAGTTAAATGCATTTGAAAAAAAATGTCTGAAAAAAAATCATGAACATAAAATGGGATGAATTCAAAAAGAGTGAGAAGATCAGAGAAATGTCTGGACAGATATCTGTATCAACTGGAATAAGACAAGACGGTGAAGATCTTCTGGGCATGCTCTGAGACGAAGTGAGCAAAGACTTACAAAACAGGCAATGAAATGGGAAACAAATGGTCTGAGAAAAAGAGGACGTCTAAAGGAAACATTCAGAAGAAGATTATAATGAGAGGCTACAAATACTGGGATGAATTACTTGTCAGAAATCCAGAGAGTTGCTTGCAGTAGAGCGTAGTGGAGGAATCGAGTGCCAGCCCTGTATGACACTAAGCAAAATATACATTTATTCAAGTACAGAAATATACATTTATTCAAGTACAGAAACATACATTTATTCAAGTACAGAAATATACATTTATTCAAGTACAGAAATATACATTTATTCAAGTACAGAAATATACATTTATTCAAGTACAGAAATATACATTTATTCAAGTACAGAAACATACATTTATTCAAGTACAGAAATATACATTTATTCAAGTACAGAAATATACATTTATTCAGGTACAGAAATATACATTTATTCAAGTACAGAAATATACATTTATTCAAGTACAGAAATATACATTTATTCAGGTACAGAAATATACATTTATTCATGTACAGAAATATACATTTATTCAAGTACAGAAATAATACATTTATTCAGGTAAGAAATATACATTTATTCAAGTACAGAAATATACATTTATTCAAGTACAGAAATATACATTTATTCAAGTACAGAAATATACATTTATTCAAGTACAGAAATATACATTTAATCAAGTACAGAAATATACATTTATTCAAGTACAGAAATATACATTTATTCAAGTACAGAAATATACATTTATTCAAGTACAGAAATATACATTTATTCAAGTATAGAAATATACATTTATTCAAGTACAGAAATATACATTTATTCAAGTACAGAAATATACATTTATTCAAGTACAGAAATGTACATTTATTCAAGTACAGAAATGTACTTATACATCTATTAAAATACAGAAATGTACATACACATTTATTCAAATACAGACATATACATTTATTCAAGTACAGTAATATATATTTATTACAGAAATATACATTTATTCAAGTGCAGAAATGTACGTTTATTCAAGTACAGAAATATACATTTATTCAAGTACAGAAATATACATTTATTCAAGTATAGAAATATACATTTATTCAAGTACAGAAATATACATTTATTCAAGTACAGAAATACACATTTATTCAAGTACAGTAATATATATTTATTACAGAAATATACATTTATTCAAGTGCAGAAATGTACTTATACATCTATTAAAATACAGAAATGTACATACACATTTATTCAAATACAGAAATATACATTTATTCAAGTACAGTAATATATATTTATTACAGAAATATACATTTATTCAAGTGCAGAAATGTACGTTTATTCTAATTCGGTTGTATCATCTTCATTTGTAACATCTTTGTAATTTAATCTGTTCATCATATGCTTCAGTAGACAAATAAAATTATCTTTTTGCTAAGGATCATAACTAGGGCTTATGTTTGAGGTAGGGCTTATGTTTGAGGTAGGGCTTATGTTTGAGGTAGGGCTTATGTTTGCGGTAGGGCTTATGTTTGAGGTAGGGCTTATTACAAAGTGATCCTCCGTGGTGTAGCAGCTAGATGAACACTGCTTAGCTGTTTCTCTGTCTTTGTCTGCCTTATTGAAACACTGCTTAGCTGTTCGCCTGTCTTTGTCTGCTTGATTGCTTGGCTGTTTCTGTGAAACCTAATCTGCAGGTCCCAGAGACTGTATTGTCTGTGGAGGGCTGGCAACCTTTGAGTGCAAGGACTGCTACCAGGTTCATGGGCCAGGCCTCAACACAACAGCTTTCTGTAGCAACTGTGTCAAGCGGGTGAGTCATCCAGTGTTTTTGGAGTTTTAACAAATATTTTAGATCACCTCTGTTTCATCGGCTGAAAAGAGTAAAAGGTTATAAACAAGGACAAATACCACTCTGGTGGTTTTAAGACAGTGGTACAAGACTCACGCTGTGCGAGAGATTGAGACCTTACCACGTAATACTTTCAGAGGCAGAGGTGTTGACACTGTAGCCAACCTTCAGTACGAAGATGGCACACACACACACACAAAAAAACAAATAAAAAGGTAAAAGATCATGGAACCTGTATTAACTCTACTGACTTCTTTAGTCTCGTTGTCAGCGGTGGACCGGCACAACACAGATTTGTTGACAAGATAGACTCTCACTGTGGTGGATAGACTCTCACTGTGGGGTGAGAGACTCTCACTGTGGGGTGAGAGAGTCACCGGGGGATAGACTCTCACTGTGGGGTGAGAGAGTCACTGGGGGATAGAATAGACTCTCACTGTGGGGTGAGAGAGTCACTGGGGGATAGACTGTCACTGTGGGGTGAGAGAGTCTCTGGGGGATAGACTGTCACTGTGGGGTGAGAGAGTCACTGGGGGATAGACTCTCACTGTGAGGTGAGAGAGTCACTGGGGGATAGACTGTCACTGTGGGGTGAGAGAGTCACTGGGGGATAGACTCTCACTGTGGGGTGAGAGAGTCACTGGGGGATAGACTGTCACTGTGGGGTGAGAGAGTCACTGGGGGATAGACTTTCACTGTGGGGTGAGAGAGTCACTGGGGGATAGACTCTCACTGTGGGGGATAGACTTTCACTGTGGGGGATAGACTTTCACTGTGGGGTGGGAGAGTCACTGGGGGATAGACTCTCACTGTGGGGGATAGACTTTCACTGTGGGGTGAGAGAGTCACTGGGGGATAGGCTCTCACTGTGGGGGATAGACTTTCACTGTAGGGGGTAGACTTTCAGACTCTCATTGTGGGGGATAGGCTCTCACTGGGGGATAGACTTTCACTGTGGGGGATAGACTTTCACTGTAGGGGATAGACTTTCACTGTAAGTGATAGGCTCTCACTGTGGGGGATAGACTTTCACTGTGGGGGATAGACTTTCACTGTGGGGGATAGACTCTCGCTGTGGGGTGAGAGTCACTGGGGGATAGACTTTCACTGTGGGGGATAGACTTTCACTGTGGGGGATAGACTTTCACTGTGGGGGATAGACTCTCACTGTGGGGGATAGACTCTCACTGTGGGGGATAGACTCTCACTGTGGGGATAGACTCTCACTGTGGGGGATAGACTCTCACTGTGGGGGATAGACTCTCACTGTGGGGGATAGACTCTCACTGTGGGGGATAGACTTTTACTGTGAGGTGAGAGAGTCACTGGGGGATAGACTTTCACTGTGGGGGATAGACTTTCACTGTGGGGTGGGAGAGTCACTGGGGGATAGATAGACTCTCACTGTGGGGGATAGACTTTCACTGTGGGGGATAGACTTTCACTGTGGGGGATAGACTCACTGTGGGGGATAAACTCTCACTGTGGGGGATAGACTATCACTGTGGGGGGGATAGACTTTCACTGTGGGGATAGACTTTCACTGTGGGGGATAGACTTTCACTGTGGGGGATAGACTTTCACTGTGGGGGGGAGACTTCACTGTGGGGTGGGGAGTCACTGGGGGATAGACTCTCACTGTGGGGGATAGACTTTCACTGTGGGGTGGGAGAGTCACTGGGGGATAGACTCTCACTGTGGGGGATAGACTTTCACTGTGGGGTGAGAGAGTCACTGGGGGATAGTCTCTCACTGTGGGGGATAGACTTTCACTGTGGGTTGAGAGAGTCACTGGGGGATAGACTCTCACGGTGGGGAGATCAGGACCTCGTCACATAAAGTCCCCAAAAACAGCAGTTGGTCCACTATTTTCTTCTTCTTAATTCAATATCAGCCTAGTAAACATTTAGACCCATCTAGGTCACAAACAGGATGTGCGTCTAAGGTCGCTGCCAGTCACCCACATTTTGTCTTGTAATGTAGCTCCATGCGGCCAGATTCCCAACATTTGCCGGGGGTAGGAGGAGCAGTGCTGCAGTACTAGCTGCCGGGGGTAGGGGGAGCAGTGCTGCAGTACTAGCTGCCGAGGGTAGGGGGAGCAGTGCTGCAGTACTAGCTGCCGAGGGTAGGGGGAGCAGTGCTGCAGTACTAGCTGCCGAGGGTAGGGAAGGCAGTGCTGCAGTACTAGCTGCCGAGGGTAGGGAAGGCAGTGCTGCAGTACTAGCTGCCGGGGGTAGGGGGAGCAGTGCTGCAGTACTAGCTGCCGGGGGTAGGAGGTGCAGTACTAGCTGCCGGGGGTAGGAGGAGCAGTGCTGCAGTACTAGCTGCCGGGGGTAGGAGGAGCAGTGCTGCAGTACTAGCTGCCGGGGGTAGGGAAGGCAGTGCTGCAGTACTAGCTGCCGAGGGTAGGGGGAGCAGTGCTGCAGTACTAGCTGCCGAGGGTAGGGAAGAGCAGTGCTGCAGTACTAGCTGCCGAGGGTAGGGAAGGCAGTGCTGCAGTACTAGCTGCCGAGGGTAGGAAGGCAGTGCTGCAGTACTAGCTGCCGGGGGTAGGGGGAGCAGTGCTGCAGTACTAGCTGCCGGGGGTAGGAGGAGCAGTGCTGCAGTACTAGCTGCCGGGGGTAGGAGGAGCAGTGCTGCAGTACTAGCTGCCGGGGGTAGGAGGAGCAGTGCTGCAGTACTAGCTGCCGGGGGTAGGAGGAGCAGTGCTGCAGTACTAGCTGCCGGGGGTAGGGGGAGCAGTGCTGCAGTACTAGCTGCCGAGGGTAGGGAAGGAGCAGTGCTGCAGTACTAGCTGCCGGAGGGTAGGGAAGGCAGTGCTGCAGTACTAGCTGCCGAGGGTAGGGAAGGCAGTGCTGCAGTACTAGCTGCCGAGGGTAGGGAAGGCAGTGCTGCAGTACTAGCTGCCGAGGGTAGGAAGGCAGTGCTGCAGTACTAGCTGCCGAGGGTAGGGAAGGCAGTGCTGCAGTACTAGCTGCCGAGGGGTAGGGAAGGCAGTGCTGCAGTACTAGCTGCCGAGGGTAGGGAAGGCAGTGCTGCAGTACTAGCTGCCGAGGGTAGGGAAGGCAGTGCTGCAGTACTAGCTGCCGAGGGTAGGGAAGGCAGTGCTGCAGTACTAGCTGCCGAGGGTAGGGGAGGCAGTGCTGCAGTACTAGCTGCCGAGGGTAGGGAAGGCAGTGCTGCAGTACTAGCTGCCGAGGGTAGGGAAGGCAGTGCTGCAGTACTAGCTGCCGAGGGTAGGGGGAGCAGTGCTGCAGTACTAGCTGCCGAGGGTAGGGAAGGCAGTGCTGCAGTACTAGCTGCCGAGGGTAGGGAAGGGCAGTGCTGCAGTACTAGCTGCCGAGGGTAGGGAAGGCAGTGCTGCAGTACTAGCTGCCGAGGGTAGGGAAGGCAGTGCTGCAGTACTAGCTGCCGAGGGTAGGGAAGGCAGTGCTGCAGTACTAGCTGCCGAGGGTAGGGAAGGCAGTGCTGCAGTACTAGCTGCCGAGGGTAGGGAGGGCAGTGCTGCAGTACTAGCTGACGAGGGTAGGGGGAGCAGTGCTGCAGTACTAGCTGCCGAGGGTAGGGAGGCAGTGCTGCAGTACTAGCTGACGAGGGTAGGGGGAGCAGTGCTGCAGTACTAGCTGCCGAGGGTAGGGAAGGCAGTGCTGCAGTACTAGCTGCCGAGGGTAGGGAAGGCAGTGCTGCAGTACTAGCTGCCGAGGGTAGGGAAGGCAGTGCTGCAGTACTAGCTGCCGAGGGTAGGGAAGGCAGTGCTGCAGTACTAGCTGCCGAGGGTAGGGAAGGCAGTGCTGCAGTACTAGCTGCCGAGGGTAGGGAAGGCAGTGCTGCAGTACTAGCTGCCGAGGGTAGGGAAGGCAGTGCTGCAGTACTAGCTGCCGAGGGTAGGGGAAGGCAGTGCTGCAGTACTAGCTGCCGAGGGTAGGGAAGGCAGTGCTGCAGTACTAGCTGCCGAGGGTAGGGGGAGCAGTGCTGCAGTACTAGCTGCCGAGGGTAGGGAAGGCAGTGCTGCAGTACTAGCTGCCGAGGGTAGGAAGGCAGTGCTGCAGTACTAGCTGCCGAGGGTAGGGAAGGCAGTGCTGCAGTACTAGCTGCCGAGGGTAGGGAAGGCAGTGCTGCAGTACTAGCTGCCGAGGGTAGGGAAGGCAGTGCTGCAGTACTAGCTGCCGAGGGTAGGGAAGGCAGTGCTGCAGTACTAGCTGCCGAGGGTAGGGAAGGCAGTGCTGCAGTACTAGCTGCCGAGGGTAGGGAAGGCAGTGCTGCAGTACTAGCTGCCGAGGGTAGGGAAGGCAGTGCTGCAGTACTAGCTGACGAGGGTAGGGGGAGCAGTGCTGCAGTACTAGCTGCCGAGGGTAGGGAAGGCAGTGCTGCAGTACTAGCTGACGAGGGTAGGGGGAGCAGTGCTGCAGTACTAGCTGCCGAGGGTAGGGAAGGCAGTGCTGCAGTACTAGCTGCCGAGGGTAGGGGGAGCAGTGCTGCAGTACTAGCTGCCGAGGGTAGGGAAGGCAGTGCTGCAGTACTAGCTGCCGAGGGTAGGGAAGGCAGTGCTGCAGTACTAGCTGCCGAGGGTAGGGAAGGCAGTGCTGCAGTACTAGCTGCCGAGGGGTAGGGAAGGCAGTGCTGCAGTACTAGCTGCCGAGGGTAGGGAAGGCAGTGCTGCAGTACTAGCTGCCGACGGGGTAGGGAAGGCAGTGCTGCAGTACTAGCTGCCGAGGGTAGGGAAGGCAGTGCTGCAGTACTAGCTGCCGAGGGTAGGGGGAGCAGTGCTGCAGTACTAGCTGCCGAGGGTAGGGAAGGCAGTGCTGCAGTACTAGCTGCCGAGGGTAGGGAAGGGCAGTGCTGCAGTACTAGCTGCCGAGGGTAGGGAAGGCAGTGCTGCAGTACTAGCTGCCGAGGGTAGGGAAGGCAGTGCTGCAGTACTAGCTGCCGAGGGGTAGGGAAGGCAGTGCTGCAGTACTAGC